CGCTACGCGCTCGTTGGTTATTTATCACTTCATATCCAACGCGGTTTCATGGAATAATTGTTAAATATTACCCGGTCTTATATAACCCTACATCCCTACCCATGATGCCCCGGCCTGGAACCCAGGCCCTTGTTGTATCTCGTGCTGACAAAATAGTTATTTTCAGCCTTATTCGCTAGCTCACTCGTCCGAAATAACATTTGAGCAAGTCAAAATCTGGAACGTGCGACTGGTCTCCTGTTATTTCTGATAACTGTTTTGTAGTCAGATGCAGTGCACTGTTTTGGCGGTTGCCTCATACTAAAATAAGGAATAATTCTCAAGATTCTCGCTCAGTAGCCTGCGTGGCAGGCCGTAGAAGTGCAGGGAAAGGGTCAAAATGAGTCAAAATCAGTGTAAGAGGATCGAGCACGCTTACTGCACTCATTTTTCCCCATTTCCCTCCCCTTCGGACGCCTGCCACGCAGGTTACTTGCTCAGTTACTTACGAAACAACTTTTATGTAGCGTACCTCCCTGGCCTTCTTATGCAGTATGTTCTAAAATCCAGCGGGTCTCCCTAAAGTCGTAAACGTGGGGAGTGGTTGCCCAATCTCCCGAGCCAGGGGCTCATGACAAAAACGCACGACTATTTACAATATCATTACTACTTAAAATTTTCATTGAAGAAACTCTAAATACATCAACCTTGTAGAGACCGCGACATATAACTTCATGCAGAAAAACAACAGCGACATTTGCTTCCGCTGGTTAGGTGACATCGGTACACTAAAGGATGCGGCATGACGACACGGCAACCCTTCTTGGAAGGCCTCTGACATAGCACCAATCTTAAGCCATTGAGCAGATTCTATCCTTGATAAGAAATAACACGCAAACTGCGGTGATAAACATGGCAATAAAACGCATGTTAAAAAAACAAAGTTTATTTACTTGACGTTTCGTATGTTTCAACATACATCTTTAGAAGTGACCGTTAGGAATAGAAGTAACAACTAAATTTCAATTTAAAATAAGTAACTAATTAACAATTACAATGACAGAAGCCGAGAAAAATTTGCATATAAACAATGCAAACTAATAAAGATAAAGCTTTTCGCTGCTTACATTATCATTTAGGGTGGGTTTTAATTCCCTTATTAGCGGAGTCTCTTTTATCTTGCAATGTGTATCTGTCCGACCTTTTGCTAATATATCAAAGTGGTTTCATTCGGCGTCGAAAAAGTCTGGATCGGACCGGATCGAACCGGACCGGATCACGGATCGGATCTCGGAACGGATCACGGAACGGATCAAGGAAAAAAATTCAAAATTCAAAATTCAAGATTAAAAATTCAAAATTTTGCTGAGCAAATTACACTAGAGTGACTACTGTGAGCAGAACGTTTTATTTAACTCAGGTGTGAAATTCCTCAGTTTATTCCTTTATAATATCAAAGGCAAACTGTCATAAGACGAGTCAGCATGGTAATAACACGACGAACGTATGAATCGGAACACAAAGAGTAAAAACACACTAAACAAATTAAATACCTGATGATTTCAAACAATTTCCGTTTTTGAGACCGATCTATACTTTCACAAGATGTGAGTTTGGAATACGATATTTCGCACTGGAATAAAACGAAACAAACCATTTGTATTTCAAAGAAATATAGCTGTTTTACAAAAAATTCTAGGAATGACATCGATAGTCTGAACGATAACGCAACCCGAGAATAAACAACATTTTAGGAATTAAGTCACGATTTTTAGAGTCATTTTTAGGGTCGTAAAGAGTTGCCTTTAAATAGAATAAAACCTTGAAATGATCGTGTTCTAGGATAGAAAACACTTAAGAGGCAAGAACAAATCAAAAC